TCCCATTTTACAGCTGGTGAAACTGAGGCAAACAGTGTCACACAGCTAGTAAGTGTCTGAGGCAGGACTTGAGCTCAGGTCTTCATGATTCCAAAGCCAGCATTCTATCCGCTGCCCAAGCGAAAAAGCATTGACTAAGCACTTAGTGTGTGCAAAGCTTGACTCCAAAGCCAGAGCCCTGTCCGTGGCCCCCTGGGATGGCCATGATGTTTTTGAGGGTCTTCGGATCCCCAAGTGAGCTGTAGCATCTTAGTTTGTTCTGTGTACATTGGACGAAGAAGCCTTCCATTAGCTTCGAGGAATCTTCCCATCCATGTTGGGACTGAAGGAGACAAATATACCTAACTCCTATGGCTGGTGGCACCTCCTTGGGATGGGCTATCTCTACTGGCTGTTTAAACTGGGGTTCCCTGGCTCAGCAGAGCCCCTCACTTGGTTGGCTTTTATCAAAGTAGGATTACATTTCTTTGCGGCCAAGACAAGAAGGAGGTTTTCAGGCCTTTAAGATGTTTCTGACAGCCCTGAGGTTATGATGCCCCAATTGTAGAAAAGGGAGCATCAGAGGTAACCATGGAAAAGGTTGTGTAAAACTGTTAGTACAATGCCTGGCATACAATAGACACCATATAAATATTAGCTATTATTAGCATTAAAGTGCTCTATACTCCCCAATTCATGACTTCCTCTATTCTCCAAGCAAAATTACTACTTATTTGGTCAAAGAAGCAAGTCCACTGAACTCCTTCACACTAATGTGTGAATGACTGATAATCCCTAACCCCTATCAGACGTTTGAGGGGACATGGAGTTTGAGACCTCCAAGAGGCAGTAGGTGGTGTGGGCCTGGAGGTCAGGAGAGAGATGCGCATTGAGGCTATGGGTGCTGATGAGACCACCAAGTGAGAGGAGAGAAGGAGGCCTAGGACAGAGCCCTGGGGGACCCTCACCTTAGTGGCCTTGGTCTGATTGGAGATCCAGACAAGTAGAAGGAGAACCAGGAGCAAGTAGTGGCCCAGAAACCTCCAGAGAAGAGAGGGGTCACCAGTGTCAGAGGTCACAGAGAGGTCACAGAGGAAGAGGACTGAGAAAAAGGCAGCTGGGAGGTCATGGGTGACCAAAGAGAGCAGCCTCAGGTGAATAATGAAGTGGGCAGCTAGGGGGAGTGGCTAAGGCATGGGGTGGGGGCGGGGGGGCAGTTAGGGTGGGGAGGGGTCTTCCAAACAAGAGAGGAAGCAATCAGTAGACAGGGAAAGACTGAAGATTAGAAAGGGTAGAGACGGGTTGTTGTGAGAAACCAGGATCGGCCATGTCGGGGGGATGGATCAAGAGAATTATTTCCCAGAGGAGGCATCTGAAGCTTATAGAGGTTGTGACCTGCCCATGCTCACATAGCAAATAAGCATTAGAACCCAGGAGTCCTGCCTCCCAATCCAGGGCTAGCTCCTTGACCCTGGCTGCTTCTCCAGGGCAGCCCTGAGCCTGTGAGGGTCTTACATCTGAAGAGGACTTAGCACTTTGCATCCATGATCAGAAAGTCAGAGAGCAGAAAGGAACCTCATAGGCCAACCCAATCCTTCCATTGGCTAGATAAAGAAACTGAGGCCCAAGTTCACATTATGGAGCTAGAAAGTAACGGAACCTAGGACCTCTAAATGCCAAGTCCATCACTGAGTCTAGACCTCATGGTGCCACCGTGGGGCAGGCAGGCGGAGGTCACATGAGGCAACCCTTTGTCTTGTCATGGTGGAACAGAAAAGGCAAAGAGGCCAAGAGAGAAAGGGGCCAGGCCAGGGGGTTCCACTTGCACCTCCCTTCTTGGCCCTTTCTTCTCCCACACAAGTCAGTTCACTCCACAGATCTTTCCCCCTGCCTTAAGGAGACTTCATTCCTTGGGGTAGCTAACATGTATACGGAAGCTGCTTTGGCTAAAATGTGGTAGAGGAATGAAAGAGAGTGGTGGCAAGATCTGACTGTGCAGGCCTTTAGAAGGCGAGAGCCCAGAGGGGGCCAGGGAAGAGCGAGGCCTTTGGAGATCTCTCCTAGACTAGAGGTGGCATTCTCAGCCCTACAGAACTGCCTCAGAGGTCAGAAATTTCTCCACTTCTGGTCACCGTTATAATGCTAGTCCTTTTTGGAGAAGAAAGAGGGTAAGCTGTGGTGATGTCTGCCTCAGTGGGAAGGAGTGTCTGAATCAGTGGACTAGCCTCAAAGGGTTTAAGGGTGGCTTGGCCTGGGCCAAGTGAAGGGCTCTTGTCTTCAGAAGGGAAGCTAGGGCTCCCTCCCTCTCTCCCTCTCTCCCTCTTTCCCTTCCTATCTCCCTCCTTCCTCCCCTCTCCCCTTCCTTCCCTGTCTCCCTCACTCTCTGTCTCTCTTCCTCTCTCCTTCCCTCCCTCCCTCCCTGTCTCTCTTCCTCTCTCCCTCCCTCTCCCTCTGTCCCTCCCTCTTTCTCTCCCCCCCCTCCCCCCTGAAGGGGCCCAGTCTAGTGGTGGCCAGCATGTTCTCTTCTGAATGTCCTCTGGCTGGAACCAGCAGCCTCCACGGATGCCAGCTCCCCAGACAGCTGTGCGGGGCCTATGGGCCTGTCCTCTGGACCTTGCCCTTGGTATTGCTGACTCTGCAGGCAGAACTGCTGAGGTCGTGCCCTGTGTCCCTGAAAACAGGGAGCTCAGCTCCCTGCCTCCCAGTGTTCCCTGGCAGGAACGACTGCTGTGGCTCAGGCCAATGACCCCCTCTTTCCTATCTTCCTCAGCAGGGCTGGCCCTTGGCACGATTCAGCGGAGGTGCTCTCTCTGCCCTCCCCCCACACACACACACATGTGTGCTCACACACATGCACACACAGCCTCCTTGGGCCCAGATGGCCGCAGCCTTTGGGTTTTCCTCCCTGAGACCACTGTCCCACTCCCAGGGCAAGAGCAAAGGCAGGGTAGTATGAGGGGAAAGGAGTTGGGAGCCCTAGGTTAGAATCATGTTTCCTCATCTATAAAATGAAGGGGTCAGAGCAGCCCTAGATGATCTCTAAGGCCCCTCCCTTGTCAGTTTGATGTGATCCCAGGGCCTCATCAATCCCAAGTCTCTTGTGTGGCTTCTTTAGGTCTCAGTTTCTTGATCTGTAAAATGAGGAGAGCCCGGGTCTAAGTGGGCTAGCAGGCCTCAGCCCTTCGGCTCCAAGTTCCTGATTGTTAGGAACCCCCAAGGCTAGATGGTGAGATACCCTAAACTGTCTCCACCCGGCCCCCCCAACCCCACCCCAGGCGCTCAGCTCACCTTATTTATTGCAAATTCTATTCCCTAAAGGCCTGAGAGGGAATCTGCTAAATAAATTCACACTAAGATGCTAACAGTTTAATAGGCGAATACGCAAGAGTGTTTGCATTTCAACAAGGAAATCCGGGACTCTCCCGGCCTTAACCCAAAGCATGAACTCCTAATGGCAGAAGTTCTGCCTGCCCTGACTTAGCCAGCCAGCGAAGGAGCTGTTTTAGGGGAGTAGGCCCCAAGCCCCATCTGGGCAGATTTCTCACCAGCTAAGCCAAGTTAAAGGCAGCCAGGGCAACTTCTCTGGCCTTTGGTTTCCTCTTCTGTGGCTCGCAGGCAGACACCAGGGCCGTGGCAGCCTCAGCAGCCGGGCCCTGAACGTATCAGTCAGATCCCTGACTGGCGATCTCCAAAGCTGCTGCTGGGAGCTGGGGCGTGGTCTCCGCTGGGGAGCAAGCTTCCTATTTTAACTAATTCTTCTGGGTAATTAGGGGCTAAGCTTAGTTCTGTGACCAGCAGGAATGCCAGCGTGCCCTTTAAATTTGGGTGCCCTAAGGGCACACTCTGCTTGTCCCATCCTAGTTACCTAGTTCCAGCCTAGGTTCTGGTCTCCTCAGCAACCTTCAGCTAGGCTAGAACACTGACGTGCTGCTGCTATTTTGTGACTATGAATCAGCAGGTCGTTTAGAGTACTTTGCCAGCCTCCTAAATTACCTTCGCTCAGCCGTGACTGAGTCACTGAGTAATTAGAACGACTCATCGCTTTGCCTTCATCTGGGGCTGAGGCATTTGCTGGGCCAACCAGTCCAGAACGACTAGGCCTACTGTCCATGCAGAGGAGGGGGGGCCATGTCCCTCTGCAGCTCCATCAATGCTCAGTGCTTAGGAAGCCAGAAATGATTATGGGCTAAGGCTGGGGCAGCTTCCCGGCCATGCTAACTTACTCTTATGGTGCCCTGATCATTGTGCCCCAAGCCCCAAACCTCTTGGCCTGGAAAACTCTTCAGCAAAGCCCTCCATTGACCACACAACTGACCCTCCTGACTCACCGTAGCATAAGGGATGGTACTAACATTATTACTCCGAACAACATTCGTGGCACATTTGTCCAAATAAATAACCATTATTGTACTGACAGAGAAAGAGTATTCCTTTTTGTGTTTTCTAATGTAGAGTCTGGTCTGCCATGGACAACATGAAAACACTGCTGTGTTACAGCAGATCTTTCCCTCTCCTCAAAAAGCTGCGGGCCTATAAACTCCCTTGTCTGCTTTGGTTTGGTTTTCACCTTTGCAAAGGGGTATTTCCTGAGGAAGGTATAGCAAGAACCAAATTGCAAACATATACTAAACCAGGAGCCCACTCTTCTCCTCCTCCACCACCATCATTTGGTACATCACATTCATTTTGGGGCATGGCATAGCCAGTGGATGAGCCATTCCTTTGACTGCAAGACATAGTGTCTTCACTGCCAGGTCAATCTGCTGCTGGTCTGGCTCAAGCAGATTGATCCTCAGGGCTGGCTTCTCATTAGGCTCAGTTGCTGTGGCTCCCAGCAGATGCGGCGCCTCTGGTGGCTCTCCTAACCTTTCAAAGTTCACAAGGAAAGAATACACACAGAGCTGGCAATGTGTTCATGGCCGCCTGGTGGCTGGGTGGGGAGAATAGGCAGCTGGCAACTGCTACGGACTCTTCCCCCTTTATTGAGGGTTACAGCATTTCTTCCTCTTCCTCACTCCAAGGAAGCATCTGCCTGGCATTCAAGGTCCAAATGATGGTCCAAAACCCAGCTCTGTTGGGGAACGAGGGAGAGACATTGGCTCTCCGTCGCATGCCAGCCTGTCTCCTCCCCTCCAACAGGTACAGGTAAGTTGTCATCTTTGAGCCTTTGCCCATGTTCTTCCTCTTAGATCTAGAATAGCCCTCTCTACCCTTATCCAAACCCTTCTATCTTTTGAATCCAACTGCTAGCAGCCTACCTGGGAAATCTAAAATGTGGCAGTCATGGAGCTAATTGCCCTTGCTGCTTTGGCTACTCATTGGGGTTCCCAATGAGAAGAGGGAGGGAAGAGCTTCCACCAGAATAGAGGTCTTAGAGCAAGGGAGCCTAAACAGTACTCCTGCTTGGAGGAACCAGCTTGCCAAGGATCTCAGCTGGCCCTATCCTTGAGGACCGAACCTTAGGAGCCAGAAGCCTGGCTGAATAAGGACACATGCCAGAGAAGTGTGAAAGAAAGCAAGCATTTTGACCCTGCCTACCTCAAGGAAGTCTGGAGTGGCACAAAGTTGCTAATGTCCTTCAATTGAATTTCTCTGGTCACCCACGTGTACTGAAAACTTGCCATTTTCACCAGGGCCCGCCTCCCATACTGATGCTATTCTCTCCAGCCAGAAGTCACCCTCATGAATATGCTGGACCACACCCTCCTTCCATGCCTCTCCTCCATTCTCAAGTTCTGTGCCACACAGCACCCACAGGCTGGCACTTAAAACCTTACAAAGAGAATAGCCTGACTATAAGATCTTTCCAGTCTCTCCTAAAGAGCCTCTCCCATACCCTGGCAGGTTGCTGAGCTCTCTTCATCTTATGAACTCTGGGGAACTCCCCTGCTTCACATGCCATGGTCTGATCTCAGTTGGCTTCCCTTCTGTAGAGAAAATTCCTCAGCCTATGGTCTGTTTATCAATTATAGTTGACTTGGTCAATTCAGGAATGAGCTTTGGCCTTTGCAAATCCCTTTCTGGGAGCCCGGTTAAGTGAGCCCTTTCTTTCAGGTTGTGTCCCTCTGGACCACATCTACAATTGTCTCCTCTCACATTAGCATCGGTCTGACCTTGCTGGGCAGTGCCTGACCTCACTTTCTCTAAGTACCTATACAGTTGCTCCCAACTTGTACTGACATCCTAGGATTGAAGTCTCCCCAAGCAGGAAAAGAACTCAGGCTTGTTAGAAAGTCAGCCTCTATCCTCTGGACCTGCACAGCCTACATGACTCACAATACCAGCAGAGGGCCAGGTGCACTGTGGTTCTGTGCCTCTTTGCTCTTTGACTGGCCCCTCTTCTGATCTTTGGACCCAATGATCTCTCCTCCTCCTTTGGCACTCTATCACAAATGCTTACATCCCTGTTATATAGATGAGGACACTAAGGCCTGAGAGACTAAGTTAGGCAGTTTATCAGTGACAGAGCCAGGGCTAAAAGGCAGGTCCCCAGACTCCCCGGTCTGTGCTCTTTCCATGAAAACATGACCTTCTGTATAACCTCAGAATGTACCCTTGCTCACCATTTCGGGTTTTTCTGACAGGCTCCTTGCTCAGTGAGGGAGGAGTGATCCCAATTTCAGGAGGGGGCAGACCCAAAAGCAGTTGACACAGGGCTCTCTCTCTCTCTCTCTCTCTCTCTCTCTCTCTCTCTCTCTCTCTCTCTCTCTCTCTCTCTCTCTCTTTTTCCTGTAGGCAATTGGGGTTAAGTGACATACCCAGGGTCACACAGCTAGTAAGTGTCAAGTGTTTGGTCTGAGGCCAGATTTGAACTCAGGTCCGACTAAATTCAGGGCCAGTGCTCTATCCACTGTGCCACCTAGCTGCCCCCACAGGGCTCTCTCTTGAGATGCTAGGGAGTTAGTGAAAGAAGAAGCTGTGAGAAGCCCCCCAAGTGAGATACAGGAAGGGATGCTAACCTGGCAGGGTATGAAAAGAATAAGTGATTAAGCAGGTTCTTTTGTGTGCTGCGGTTCATTCCCTCCCTACCCTCACACCTAACGCCCTTCCCACCTCAGTAAGGGGATGGTTGAGTCACCAGAAACAGAAGAATCTTTCCAGATCTCCAACCACCTCCCACTGGGTCCTACTTCAAGGTAGAGATGTAGAAGTGCTGAGGTTTCCAGCCACCTTACCATGGCACTTCAGACTGATGGAGATCTTTTGGATAGATAACTGTTGGGTGGGTCAGGCACCAGACAAGAGCATTGGCTGGCAAACTGGCAAAGAGGGTTGGCTGCAGTCAGCCCATCGAAGATGTGTTTGATTCCAGCTCTGCCACATACTACCCCATGACCTTGAACAAATCTCTAGGCCTCAGTTTCTTCATCTGTAAAAGGAAGGGACTAGACTAGATGACCACTAAGGTCTTTTCCAGATTCAAATGTAGGCTCTATGACCTTTGACCCACCGATTGAGAAATACTGAGCTGAGCTATAGTAGCAGGAGGCAGGTTATTTGGCCAGAGGCCTAGAGGCACAAGTAGAACAGGGGTTCTTAACCTGGGGTCCATGGACCTAACCTAATCTGAAGGGGCCTCTGGTTAGATTTCATGGGGTCCATGACCCTGAAGGGGAAAAAAATGACACCATTATTTTCACTAACCTTTATTTTCCTATTGCAATCCTATGCACTTGTAATATATGAATTTTAAAACCATATTCTGAGGAGGGGGGCCCTAGGCTTTCCCCCCCAGCCTACCCGTCCACAACACCAGAAGAGTGAAAGCATCTGCTGGAAGGTGGAATGGGCAGCTTTAGGAGGGGGATGAGTTAGCTAAAGCTGGCTGTGCCCTTCTTGGCAATATTGCAGAGGGAATCCTTGGGCAAGTGGAGGTCCCTGCCAACACGACCACTTGGGGAGGCCCTGAAGCAAACTCCCAAGGTCAGGCACTGCCCAGCAAGGTCAGACCGATGCTAATGTGAGAGGAGACAATTGTAGATGTGGTCCAGAGGGACACAACCTGAAAGAAAGGGCTCACTTAACCGGGCTCCCAGAAAGGGATTTGCAAAGGCCAAAGCTCATTCCTGAATTGACCAAGTCAACTATAATTGATAAACAGACCATAGGCTGAGGAATTTTCTCTACAGAAGGGAAGCCAACTGAGATCAGACCATGGCATGTGAAGCAGGGGAGTTCCCCAGAGTTCGATAAAGATGAAGAGAGCTCAGCAACCTGCCAGGGTATGGGGAGGGAGGGCTCTTTAGGAGAGACTGGAAAGATCTTATAGTCAGGCTATTCTCCTTTGTAAGGTTTTAAGTGCCAGCCTGTGGGTGCTGTGTGGCACAGAACTTGAGAATGGAGGGAGGGCATGGAGAGGAGGGGTGTGGTCCAGCATATTCATGAGGGTGGGACTTCTGGCTGGAGAGAATAGCATCAGTATGGGAGGCGGGCCCTGGTGAAAATGGCAAGTTTTCAGTACACGTGGGTGACCAGAGAAATTCAATTGAAGGACATTAGCAACTTTGTGCCAGGCACTATGCTAAGTGCTGGAGATAGAAAGACAACCCCCAAACAGCTCTTGCCCTCAGGAGTTTCCATTCTACTGAGGGGGAGACACACCATATGCACATGTCAAGAAACACAAACTTACTTGAGGGCCAGAGCACTAAGAGGTGGAAGGAGGGGATGCTTGAGGCAAGCTCTGAAGGGAGGCAGAGGTGAGGGGGCAGCATTCCAGGAATAGGCATCCAGCCTGTGCTAAGGCAGCACCATGGGAGATGGATAGGCTGGTGTGGGGAGCCCTGGGAAGGCCGTTTAGCCTAGACCAGAGAGTGCATGGAAAGGAGTAACAGATGATCTGGCAGGAAACATGGATTGGAGTCACATTGTGGAGGTCCTTAAATGTCAGACTTGTTTTCTCCTGGAGGTGGTGAGGAGCCTCTGAAGCTTCTTCAACGAGGGAAGGCCATGTTTGACCTCGGTTTTAGAGTTTGGGACTAGTAGGACACAAGGTTACATGGGAGAGCAGGGTCAGATTATGATGGCCCTGAAAGCCAGGTAGAATATCAGACTCTTTCTTGCAGGGAAAAGGGAGCATTTGACGGATTTTGAGCAGGAAGGGGTTGACCTAATGACTTGAGTATTTAGGAAAGACTCATCTGTCAACAGAATACAAAATGGACCAGAGAGGAGAAGAAAGTGAAGGTATCAAGGCCAGAGGGGAAGCAAGGTTGAGGTAATAATAGTGAGGCTAGAGTGGCACCAAGGAGGTAACTGGAGTCAGTGAGGAGGGTCATTCAAAGGCTGGCAGCAGCTACAAAGAGCCCAGACAACAGGCTAAACTGGTAGAAATTGGGAAAGACAAAGAGGAGACTGGTTTGAGGGAAGACCATGAGCTCATGGTGAGAGATATCCAAGTGGAAAGGCCCAGGAGATGGCCAGAGGTACAGGATGGGAACTCTAAGGCAGCCAGGGTCTAAGGGATGGTTCAGGAAGCATTCACAAAGAGAGGGCAGCTAGAGCCCTGGAGACAGGCCTAGCTTCAGGGGCCACAGTGGATCCTCGGGGAATGCCTCAGCTGAAGGAGAGGAGCCAATGAAACCATTGTGGCACTGGGATCTAGGGCTGGTGAGGAGCTCAGAGGCCACTGAGGCCTAGCCTCTCATTTAACAGAGGAGGCAATTGAAGCTTGGGAATTTGCCCAGGGTCACACCAATTCACAGGGTCATGTTATGGAAGCCAAAAGAGGACTGAATCATCGGTGGGGGCAAAAGTTAGGAAAGGTCAAGGAAAAATGAGAACCTAACTGAGAAAAAAAGAGCCATTGGATGGCTCAAGGAAGTCATTGATGGCCTACTAAATGCAGAAAGTCATTGACACCCAGGGCTAAGCACTTCCATGATAGGGCTTGGCCTCCTGAGGAATCAGGATCTTTTTATCCCCCAGCAACAATCTCCTCTCCTGGCCAGCTGTGGGGATGACCGGCCACCTTCCCTCTTCTTCCTCCACATGGCAGGTTAAGCTAAACAGCTTTTTCCTTTCTGGAGCTCAGCATCTCTGGGCCATGGCCCTTCTCTGTTCTGCGTTATCTTCCCCCATTGGAATGGGAGGTGCTCGAAGGCCGGGATCAGTAGCGTTGCCTTCCTTTGCTCTCCACAGCGCTTGGCACGTGATTGATGCTTTAGCAATCTGTGGGACAAGAAATGGATTTTGGTGGGAGCACAGCTGGGAGCACTGGGACATTGGAGCTTTCGAATCAGAAGAGCCCTCATAGCTGCGTTTTAGGTGGCCAGGGCACTCTGCCCTGGGAAGGCTCCCAGCTCACAAGAGGACCCGGGTTTTGCTGACCGAGATGATTTAACTGCAGTGAGTGAGCTGCTGCTGGTCCCTTGGGCCCTCCTGGTGAGTGGAGTTAGCTCTTCAGTAGGGTGGGTGGCCCCATCCACAGCAGGTCTTGACAGGACAACGTCAGCAGCCAGGGCAGCCAAGCACAGAGATTGCCTTGTAAACTTCTCTGACTCAAGCTGTGTCCTCCTCTCTGGGCCTCAATTCCCCTTGCCCTGGGGTTGGACTAGACATCATCTGAGGGACCCTCCTGCTCGAACTCTGAGACCCTCTGACCTTTTCCAGGAGCTATTCTCTGGCTACCCCCCAGCAGTGCCAGCACCCAGGCTTGGCATCTCAGGGTTGTACCCCATGGCCCATCCCCTAAGGCCCTATTTTCTGGTGAATTTTAGTTCACTAGCATGGTAGTAGGCATTGCTGAGTGCCCCCTGCTAAGCAGGGACACCTTGAAAACAAACTCGACTTAAAGGGGGCACCTCTAGCAGTGGCAGGGACAGGCAGCATCCCTTGGTGGCTTCCCTCCAATCAGAGATTATTTATAATAGTAACTGTTCTCATTTCTCCAGGCTGTAAGGTATACACACACACACGTGTGCATTCGAGTGTGCACACCCATACACCGAGCAGGGGCACGCTACAACACACTACAGGTGAGGACTTGTTCTGGGGAAGGGGCCTCATGGGATGCAGAGAAACAGATGATTGAAAAGGAAAGTGGGCTGTCCAGAGAGAGGGCTAGCTAGCTGAAGGCCAGTCAGGTCCTCACTGCGTTGGCATCCTCGTGATGTCAGGAGCACGTGAGGAAGGCCAGTAGCCTGTTGGGTGGACTCTCTGGGGCCAACTTATGGGAGGTCATGGACGTGTCCAGGTGGGGCAGCCACGGATGGGCTTTGATCTGTATCTATGGAGGGAACGTCCAAACGGGTCACGGGTTCTCTGTGTGAGGGAGGAAGTGCAAGTGTTATTATTGGGCATCTTGCTGCAGGCCACATAGTCAGGAGATGACAAAGCTAGGGTCCAGGAGGGCAGGACTCCCCAGCAGGTACACCAGGCTCAAGGAAGACAATATGTGTAAAGTGCATGGCAGACTTTATTCATCCTCCCACCTGAACACCTCACAGAGAAGCACAAGGTCTCCTTTAAGGTCAGAGGTCTCCAAGGGCTGGCTAATTCACACAATGTGAGTTTGTGAGCAAGGAAGGGAGCAGGTGCATCTTTGCCTACATCCAATTTAAACTGCTTGCAAACTCATAGGCATACTTTGGCTTTTTCTCTTGTGGCATGGTCGGTGTGATATGGACACATGGCCTTTCAGATCATCCCTAGGGGGCTGGGGTTTAGGGAAATCACTGAAATAGTGCAGTCTGGGAGAATCACATGCCTCCCCCCAAAGAGAAGACCTTTTACAGTATACTTCTGGGGCCACCCTGAAGAGGGTAAGAAATTCTAGATGGGCAGAGAACAGCCTGGGAATAGGGGCCACGGAGGGAGGGCTGGGCTCTGCCTTGGTGACAGGGGACAATTTATGGGCTGATGAGGTCTGCAAACCTCAGATCTTTAGTACCAGGGAGATGCTCTCTTCCCAGATTTCTCCCTCCTCCTTCACTGACCAGTCATCAGTAGGTATGTACCAGGGTCCACCTACCCTCTCCCATACTGAATTATCTGAAACTCTCTAGAGCAGCAAATCCCTACCCAGGCCCCAGGGCTCCTCCCTAATAGGGCTATAAGGAGCGATTTTGGTGCCTGAGGCAAGCAACATGGAATAGGACCTCTAATCAACCTTTTGAGAGAAATTCATTTGCGGGAGGGAAATTTGCTGGGGCACAAAACCCCCTGGGGGGTACTACCCCAAAATAGAGAGACAAAGACTCCTGCACTGAGGCCTTGGCATTCCCTGCAACTGCTTCTGAGGAGATCATGATGGGGGCAGTTGGTGGGGGGGAAAGAATTATCTCAGGTGCAGCTAGTGAGGGGAGGTGTCATGTCAACTGGTAGCATCTGATTTTTAACTAATTATTCTTGTCCAATTGTTTCTATGCTATCAAAGCAGAGTAAGAGCTATCATCACCCTCTCAATTTTGGTGTCTTAGGACAAAGGCCTGGGTGCCACAACCTAGTTATGGCTTTGTATCCCCAACAGCTGGAAGCTGTCTACTTCAGGACAGAGCCCAACTGGAAGGGGGACCGAGGGCTTTCTCCAGGGGCAGGGTTCAGACTGGGGTGCACAGGGGCAAAGTTAATGGGCATGACTGCCCCCCTCTTCTGAAAGCTTGGGAAAAGGCATATGTCATCCAGTGAAGCAAAGCAAGGAGAAGATGTTTAGAGCCCCTAAATGAAGTGGAGGTGAGGAAGGGTAGAGGGGCTCAGGGGGCCTCTGGCACTTCTGTAGCCCCAGCATCCATGGCTTCAGGATTCCAAGTGAGGCTTTGAGCAGAAGCCATTCCTGTCAAGAAAATGCAGAGAGTAAGCTAGACCCTAGGAAGCCTTAGCCCCCAAGAAGCCCAGAACTAACTAAGCTGTCTCCTTGCTCTCAGCAATAGCCTCCAAACATGTCTTTCTTTTCTCCAAGCTGATCTTCCATGCTGCTGACAGAATAATAGAAACATCGGTTACATTACTCCTCTGCTCAAACATCTTATCAACCAAGCAAAGGTCAAACTCCTGTCCAGACACTTATAGTCCCAAGCAATCTCAGGATCCAAGCTGAAAGGGACCATGGAGGTCATTTAGTCCAACCCTCTCCCTTTACAGAAGAGGAAATTGAAACCCAGAGAGGAAAAGTGATTTGTTCAAGATCATATAGGACTTGAAACCAGCTCCTCTGACTCTGTCCAGTCTTATCTCCGGAAAGTCCCCTGCGCATATTCTATGCTTTAGCCAAACTGGATCACTCTCTGTCCCCCTGAAACACTTCCTGGGATTTCCTGGGGGTCTACAATAGCCTTTCTTCTTCCTCACTCTGCCTGAAGTCTCTGCTCGAAGTTCTGTGGTGACGAGGAAACCCATCACTTCCCACAGTTGCCTGTTCCACTTTGGGACAGCTCTCAGGGACAACTGACACTCATGGCCCCTAGCACTGTTCACTGTGTGCTGCAATGTCTGCTTGGCAGCAGGGGCACTGCTTGGCACGATGCCTAGCAAGTTAGCATGGACCCTGTGCAAGGCTTACATGCAAGTCTATGAAGCATCCACAGAGCCCCCCAACATGGAGACCCTGGGCTCTTGAAGGCTCAGCCAGCAAGGTCTGAGCTCCCATGGCTTCTAATGCAAATAGGTCTGGGGCCTGCTTTCTTGTCACCCACCATTCATTGAGGCTAGAGCCACTCACCTGCAGTATTTGCTGATGCACTCCAGGTCCCGCAAGCAATGGGCCTGGGAAGGTTTGTAGCCCAGTGACCTCCAGAATGGAGTCATCCGAGCCACCCGAAGAAGCAGGGGCTGCCTCAGAGAACCAGCCCCAATCAAAGTATCCATCTCAGCCTCACGTTCAGAGGCCTCCTTGTCCTTCACGGGGCTTGACACAACCTGCGATCACAAGGCAGAGACATCTATCACTGTAACAATAGTCCCAACAGGGTATGTGTTGCAAAAATGGCTTCATTCTCATTTTAGAACAAAATTAGAATAAGAACTTAGAGAAGAACTAAACTGGCTTTTTAACAAGGAAGTGCAGTTTGACCCTCCAGCGCCCAAGGAAACAGATCAGAAATTCTGTCCAATGTCCAATAGAGCCCGACAATTCACATTTCCCAGCAGTAGAACAGGGTCCTGTGGACAGCGCACTGAGCTGGAAGGCGGTGCTCTCTCTGCTGCTTCCTTGCTGTGTGACCTCAGGGACGTGATTTCCTTCCTGTGGGTCCCCAAAGCTGCTGGGAAGGCTCAGAGGAGATCGTGGATGGGAAGAGCCAACAAAGCTTGACGGGTTCCCACTATTCTTCCATGTTTTCATCTTACCATGCTGATAGTCATGACTGTAGGATTGTCTACTGGATGGAGAGAAGTTTTATGTGTCTGTCTGTCAAAGCCAAAATGTGGGTGGGGTGACTGGGCCTTCACCCCAGGGCACGAAAAGCAGAGGGCCCCACCAGCACAATTGAGCTCTGCACTTGGTGAGCTAGAAGAATTTGTTAAATTAGGCAGCCACACCCCAGGTGAATTCCTCCTGCCTGCCTCACCTGCCACCCGCCAGCCCCGCCCCCCCTTCCCAGTAGACTTAGGGTGTCCTCCAGCCTCTGTCTCCCACAGCAGGGATGGCAGCCTGGAGACTCTGTTGCCCCTCCCCCCACTATCTGTCTAGCACAGTGGGAAAGAGACAGAGTCTGACAGAGTGCTGGGTTCAAGCTCAGTCTCTGCCACTAGCCGGTTGGGTGACGCCAGGCCAGTCATCTGTATAAAATGGGGCTACCTATTGTTGTGAGGCCCAAGTGAGAACTGGCAAACGATCCCTCTGTCCCTTCCCCCGTAAAACTGTCTGCTTTCCCGATAATTTGTCTGTCTTGGTAAAACGGAAGATGATTCGAGTGTCTGCCATGGGCTCATGGGCTGCAGAGCCCTCACAGTTAAGGGCTCGTCCCCTGCCACTCCTGCTCACTGAGCCACTCTCTCCCAGCCCCCCCCCCCCAAGGCTTGTTCAGTATTGAAAGAGAAACGGAAGGAAAAGGGAGGGAGAGAGGGCGTAGCCCCTGGCCAGTAGCCACCTAAGAGCTCCTGAATCCAAAGCCTGAGGCCCCAGGGGGAGGAGACAATGGAGTCTGACGCCTGCTCCAACTTTGCTGGGGGTAGAGATAATACATGGGAATTTGGAGAGGAATAGAAGTTGGGGGTGGGGGAAGAAGGAGGAGAAAGAAAAGAAGGAGGAGGAAGAGGAAGGGGGGAGAAGGAGGAGGATAATGAGGGAGAGGGAGAGGAGGAGGAGGGGGAAGAGGAAGAGGGGAAGGAGGAAGAGGGGAAGGAAGAAGAGGAGAAGGGGGAGGAAGCAAGGAGCCTGCCTTCCACAAAGGCAAGCCAAGGAAACCAGGGAGCCCCCTGAGAAGTGGAGCCATCCCAGAATCCAACAGGACTTTGGTGAATCTGCCTATGGCTCCTTAGCCAGAGTCTGGCTCTCTGTGGAAGCTGACCCTGGAGAAGAGAAGATTTGGTTCCATAGGTGGGGGCCAATATTCGAGTTATCTTCAGAGTTTTCCTAACACAAACAAATTGTCCTGAAAGCCAGTGGTTTTCCAGGGGGGAGGAAGCAGACAGTTGGAACCTTCATGGCAGGAATGCACCAGCTTCAGTTTTCCTGAAAGGACAATGACAATGAGCTAAACACACCTAATTGTAACACTAGTTGTACTCACGCTGTTGCTGACTACTTTTTGATCATTCATAGTCCCAAGAGGGAGGCATTGTATTATTCTTCCCATTTGAAAGACAGAGGAGCAACCGTATTGGAGGACAGTGAGTGCACCGTGAGTATCCGTGTGTGTGTGTGTGTGTGTGTGTGTGTGTGTGTGTGTGTGTGTGTATTCTGGCTCAGCCATTCATAGGACCACCCATTTTATGGAGGAAACTGAGGCCCCAGGTCACTTCCTCTTCCTAGACTTCAGTTTCCTCCTCTGTTCAACATGGGGAGTGGGGGCAGGCCGTGGATTGTACTAGATGCCATCGAAGAGCCTAAATCTCTGGTCCTAAGAAGCTGAGATGAAGCCACTTGCTTGAGTTATCCAGCGCCCTGTCTGAGGGTGACTCTCACTCCCTGTTTCCATTTTCGTCTAAATGTGACGGCATCAATTTATTTTATTGGGAGTAGCAGAGCTCTGGGACTCAGTCTGTGTGGTTTTTTACTTTGAGGCCTTCTTGCTGCTGCTGGTGACATTTGTGAAGGGCTCATAGGGCTTACCAAGCCAGAGGCTCTCATTGGAAAAGATCACGCCTGTTCCCTACCTCTCTCCTTTCTCCGCCTCTCTCCTTTCTCCTGGGATCTTCATTCCACCTCTGCAGAGACATGCTTGGAAGGCCAGCTTTAAAATCCCCACCACACACCTGCTTACGGATATGTCAATGATCAGAGGACCATCCACTTACAGCAGGAAGGGACCTTGGGGGTCTGACCCAGGGTCACATAGCAAGGAAAAGTCTGAAGCAGAAATCAAACCCAGGTCTTCTTAACTTCAAGCCCAGAGCTTGAATCCCCACCACCCAGCACTGCCTCCCAACCCCAGCTGGCCCCTCCAGGGCTGACTCTCACAACTCCACCTCCAGTTGCTATTTTTCTAGGAAAGCCTTTTCCTTCCCTTGCCAACTCTCATCAAATCCCTGCTCAGCCTACTGACCCTGTGTGACCTTGGGCACACATGCTCTCTGTAAAATAAGGGAGGTAGACTAAATCACTTACAATCCAAAGGTTTCCTAGGGGAGAAGATCAGATCCCCAGTCCTTCGTCCATGAAGGGAAGGAGCAGGGCCTCTAGGGTGGGATTGCGAGATGTCCTTTACTGTACAGCTGGACTAGGTGGTAAAATTTGATACCCACCTACCATAGCTTAACTCCCTCAGGTGACACCGTCTCCCAGGGGCCCACTCCATTCTAACGTGTCCATCATAGAAGCAAAGTTTGAAGCTTGAAATGACCTCAGAGGTCAGGAAGTCCAACCCCACCTTTTTGCACAAAAAGAAACTGAGGCCCAAAGAGGGGCAATGTCTCAGCCAACGTCACACAGATACTAAGTAGCAGAGTCCAGACCATTTGCTGCTTCTTGTTGGGCGCTTTTTGTTGTTACTGTTCTTCAGTTGTTTCAGTCCTGTCCGACTCTTCGTGACCCCATTGGGGGTTTTCTGGGCAGAGATCCTGGAGCGGTTTGCCATTTCCTTCTCCAGCTCATTATACAGATGAGGAAACTGAGGCAAATGAGGTGAAGTGACTCATCCAGGGTGACACAGCTAGAAAGTGTCTGAGGCCAGGTTTGAACTCATGAAGGAGTCTTCCTGATTCCAAGCTCAAGTGCCCTATCCACTTTGCCACCCAGCTGCCCTTGTTGGGTATTCAGAGGTCCCTTCTCCTGCAGAGATTCAGGGTTTCTGACAATTCCCAAATGATTCTGGTTTGAGACTCTGCATATTTGACATTGAGAAACCTGCCTCCTGGTTGCACCCTCCCCTAAAGTTGTTGTATTACTAGATTGTAAGCTTCTTGAAGGTAGAGACCCAGTCCTCTGCCTCTATGTCCCCCAGAGGGCCTGGAAAGGTTAGTTCACTTGGTTACATTTTGAGGCAGCCCCTATAACGTGCAAGGAAGGCCCTATGCTAGTTCCCTGTGAAGGCTCCTGCACAACCATGGGCTGGCACTCAGTCATCCTCTGATGAAGGTGAAATGATTAGGAAGCCTTTAGGAGTGGTGCAGAGCTCGGCAGATGTCACCACTCTGCCAGAAAATGAGCTTTCAAGCAGCTGACACTCGGGCCCTTCCATCTGTGGGCTTGTCTAAGACTTACTGGGCTCAGAGAGAAATCAAAATACTTGGATTTCTGAACCAGAATCTTTTGCACAAAAGAAAGGTTCCTAAATTCTTTGGGAGCAGTCCAAGGTGCCTCCTATAAACACATGTTCAAATAGAGCCTCTCCCTCAAGGATTAGACTTTCATAAAAACACTACTCCAGGGGCAAAGCATTTTTGACAAGCCCATTCTCTCCCTCGGGGAGATGGGAAGGGAGCCAAACTGAGGAAGCCACTTGCTTCAGCTGCCCCAACCCACCAGCTGAACCAGGATCTTTGTGAAGCCCAGGACAGGTTCTAGGAGCCTGGCCCCACCCCTCCCCCCACTTCTTGCCTGGTACTCGGCTCCTACCTGATAACTGGTCTTCCCCAGCCCCATTCTCCACTAAAGAGAGAGATCTACCAGATGTGCGGGACAGACAACTTGTGGCCAGCCTGCAGTTGCTGCCCCGCTGTATCCGTGTTCATGTGGCTGGCACTTTGATGGTGTAACGACTGTACTCTTGAAAATGAGAGTGGAGGAGCTGGCCCTGGAGGCAGGGAGCCCTGGGTTCGAGCATGGCCTCTGACGGGCACATCCTAACGTGGCAGACTGTGGCCAAGCAATTTTACCTCTCAATGGCCCTGCTCACTCTAAGACATTGGGGAACAGCGGCTCATCTTTCTGTATCAGTGGAGATAAGTTCATTGGGAGTTACCCACACTGAAGAAGTGCCAGGGCCAGACCAAAAAAAGGTCCCAATAATAGTAATTGTTTGGCCTAACATCTTGCTTTAGGGCTTCCAAAACACATCTTGTGGGTAACATGAGTGACCCCGGTTTTCCAGACAAAAAAACTGAGGCTCTGAGAGATCCAGTAACCTGCCCAGAGACATTGAGCTAATGAGTATCTAAGGTGGGATTTGAACCCAGGTCTCTGGATTCCAAACCCAGCTGCAACATGCTGCTTCACTGGTGTGTAAATTGTAAAAATTAAAAATGAATGTAAATATTCATTTGGAGACTTCTGGATGTGAAAATGCCACAAGTCCTTTAAGAGAAATACTCGTCAGTGCTCTGTGCTGGGGGGTGGGCTTCTGCTTGGCTGGGCCTCTTGGGTCCTCAGTTTCTACTTCTGCAGAATGAGGGGGAAAGTTAGCCTCACAATTCTAAGGATCCTTCTGCCATCCCGTTGCCCTAAGTTTTCCTTTCTGGACCTTAGTTTCCTTCTCTGGAAAAGGCCAGGAGGGGGGGAGAAGAATAGAACTTGGTGACCTCAAAGGTCCCTAGCAACCCTGCCATTCTCCGATTCCCCTAAATCAGACCCACCTGCTGAAAAGGCAGAAGTAGGAATAGCACGGAGACCGCGAAGAGCAACCCCTTCATGGCCAGACCTTGCAGGCTGGATCACTGGCGATGCCACAGCCTCTGCTGCCGCTGTCTGTGGTCCCTGGCCAGCTCCTTCTCCTTCACATAGGCAGCTCAGCCCAGCCCCCCACTGGGCTGAAGGACTTGTTCAAATATTTGAGACGTGGCTCGTGTTGGGCAATCGCTCACCCCTGCCCTTCTACCAGTGCCTCTCATTCCTTTCCACAGCCCTCGTGCCTCAGTGATATCGACCAGGCTCCAGGTTGGCCTTCTGGCAGGTAGGAGCCCAGGTTAACATCCATTCTGGGGGCAAAACCCTCTCTAGCTAGCATAGCATAGGGGCTTGTGGGATTGGTTTCTGCCACTGTCTGTTCCATGACTCAGAGTATTCTTGTGCCTTGATGAACCTTAGCATTCCTGGAATTGCCTTTGTGTGACCCATGACCCCACTCCCCACTCTCTGAGTTTTCATTGACATGATGCAATCTTGGGAGCTTCTCAAAAAACCCCCTCCTTTAGTTCATCTGCCCCCCCAGTTTTGGGGGTAGCCTCAGAATTCAGCTCATTTTGCTCAAACACGGGCTTCCCATGAGAATATTAGATTAGATGCCATTCTATTCTATTCTCCAGAAATAGGCCAGAGGACCTCGGCTGCCATGAAAGCCAGATTGCTTTTATTTCACCCCACAGGCAATGAAAATCGCAGATGCCCATTAACACTGGAGTCATCCATCTCCCCATCTCATCTCCGTGAGTCCCATCTTCCCCACAGGGACCCATATCATTCCAGATTCATAACCCTCTATGGTTCCAACTGCCTCCCAGAAATGAATTGGGGGTTTCCAGAGTCAACCTGGGGGGAGCCCTGCCCCAGCCTCCCTTATAGTTCCATACAGAGTTCCTCCTCTTGACAGCCAGGCAGGCCCAAGTTTGATCCCCCACATCCTGGCTCCATTCCTTGGGGTTCTCTAGCTCCAGGGCCACCTTTGGGACCATGTGGTCCCTTCTTTTCTGCCCCCTTGAAACTCTGTCTAGCTCCAATCTGTGAGCTTGGGCTTCTCTACAAGGTTGCATTCAGGAACTCAACACTATCCCAAACTCCCTCTTCCTGGGCCCCATAGATCCCTGCCACAAATTCCCTCATTTCCCTGGTTTCAAACCTTCAAAATCCTCTACATCTTCACCCACCCCATCCTGCTTTGCTCCAGTCTCTGAGAAAGAGGTAGCTCTTCTCCTTGCCAAGGCTCCTCTACTTGTGCCCGAGACCCCCTCTCCTGCTTGACCCCCATTTCTTCTCTTTACATTGTCTTCCTTGGTGAGCTCATGTGCACTCATGAGTTTCACTGTCATCTCTATGCATGACATAGATAACTCCCAAATCTGGGTGTCCGATTCCTGCCAGCTGCCTGTGGACAACACACCCAACGTGGAATTCACGCCCTCTCCCCCCAAAATCCCCCTCATCCCCCTTCCAAATCCCAGGTTTGTAACTTACAGATGAGGAAACTGAGACCCAAAGGAGCTGAGCTATTTGCCCAAGTGCATACAGGTGATAAGTGGACAAACTAGGATCTGAACCCATGTCTTTGGACTTTAAATCCAGCATTATTTCCATTATCCCACACTATCTCTGCACCTGAATGGAAGGAGGTACATTTTCCTCATCTTTTCTTGAGGCATTACAAGTCTTCATTTTGGGTTTGTTTCATTTCTATTTTTTTTTTCATTTTTATTTATTTATTTTTTAGGCAATTAAGTGACTTGCCCAGGGTCACACAGCTAGTAAGTGTCAAGTGTTTGGTCTGAGGCCGGATTTGAACTCAGGTCCTCCTGACTTCAGGGCTGGTGCTCTATCCACCAGGCCACCTAGCTGCCTCAGGTTTGTTTCATTTCTAATGGCTGTCAGTGTGCAGACTGCTTGCCAGGTTCTGTTCCCTTCCCTCTGAATCTGTTCAGAATTTTCCCCCCTTTCCTGTTCACAAGAGGGCCCCACTACATTCCCATTCCCTTCATTAATGGGCATCCATTGGGCTTACAGGTTTCTGGTGTCGCAAAGTCTCAGCCCAGCCTGGAATACACTGGCTCAGCTCTGCCTTTAGAGGCACAGGGAGCAGATCAGCCCGAAGGCACCTCTGAGGTAGAGTTCAATCCCCTTCTGTTGCAGGAAGACACTGTGGCTCAGATCACATGGTTGCTAGTAAGGGGGCAGGCAGCATTCGAACCCAGGTCTCCATGGTTTTAAAGCTAACACTAGGACATGCTTTCCTCAATCTCAACTCCTTGAGGGTAAGGACCATTTCCTTTTTGTCTTTGTATACCTTGCACATGGTAGGGTCTCATCAAACGCTTGGGGATTCAAAAACCCAGGAACCTCCAGTCAACCTATATGAGGCACTGGCTTAAACCTGCCCCCTCCTGAGCCTGGCATTACCTCGGCCCTTCCATAATCTGGCCATCATCCCTCACAGCCCCCCTGCCCCTGCCAAGTCAGGCCTAGTTCTTTCCTAGCATGCCTGGTAGGAAGGGAGATCAATCCTACATCAGTGGCAGGAAACTCCCCGAGGCCAGGGACCTTTTGCTTTTCACAGGTGCTCAGCCCTGACAGCTGGATTGATCCAAATTGGGAACAAAGAGGCCTCCACTTTTACTGTACCCCCAAACTGGGTAAAATTCTGAAGAACGGAGGGTTGGAAGTTCCAAAGGTTAAAGGGAGGGGCAGTGGAGAAGCCGCCAAGAAATCCCTGGCTCATTCAGCTGGAAACCAAGGCCTTCCCCTCCCCAATGACTCCCAAGCCAAGAAAGTTCAACCTTTTCTTTAGCAAAAGTTGATTTATTGACCACAGCACAAAAATAGAAAACTCCCATTGTTCATATCATTTACCTTCCATCAGAAAGAACAGGCCATTTGGTACAGGCAGTGCCTCCCCTGAAGTGGTTGTATAAGGGCCCCATCTCCAGCAGGCCCTTCAAACTTGGCTCATGCGGCGTCAGAACTTCCTCAAGGAAGTGCTGGGCCCACAGCCACGGCCCTTGGCCTTAGTAGAGTTTAAAATTAACAGCAAAGCTGTGAGTGACTGCCTGCCCTCCACCCCTGGCCTAGCATAGTGGGGCCTCCCACCCTATCCTGAAGTAGCATGCTGGAGCTGCCTGCCTGTGGGCCCTCCACCCCTGCCCCCTCCCCACAGGCTAGCTCCCAGTGACACACAGTCCATCTCATGGGCTGGCTTTACTTGCACATAAAATGAGAAACCATTCAGGGAAGCCTTTTCTGTCCTAGAATTTTTTTTTTAAAAGGCACAAGGAAGGGATCTGAGCTCCTCATTCCCTCTTCCCCACCAAATACACATGGGTTGAAGAGATATGAATCCTATAAACAATCAATCCCAGGAATCCCCCCTCAGCCCACTTCCTCCTGCATCCTGGATAAGCAAGGAATGGGCCACGAGGGCCCAAGTAGCAGCTGGAGAATAATGGGACTCCAGAAGGGACAGCCACTGTGAGAGCAAAGGCTGTTGGCCCAGAACAGATGCAGGAGCCATGAGTGCCCAGAACCCTGGCCCCTACCCTAGGAGGCCTCCCTGCCCTATCCCCGTCACCAAATCTGTATTTCAGACAAGCCCGATGGCCTTTTCCCCTGGAGCTCAGGGCTGCTCTGCCCAGCCCTGGGCTGGGGCAAGCAGAGGCTCCTGAAGGGAAAGCGTGGGACTTGTCTCGGGGTTAGGGCTGGGACTCTGAAAGAACAAGCTGCCACACCTTCAACCATATCAATCTCAAAGATTCTTCCAGAAAGATGGCTTCTCACTCAACAGGAAGAAAGAGAGTAGAAGGCAGGACCCCCAAAGGAACAATCTCCTAAGACATTAGGTGCTCAGTCGTCTTCAAGGCCTGGGTTTGGTTTCTAAATCAACTGTGAGTACAAAAGTGAGGTGATCATCAGACAAAGAGTGACTGTGCCCGGTGGGTTGGGGGTGGCAGATAAAGAGTCTGGGGATTGGTGAAAGGAGTGTCACACCTTGAGATCAATAGTATCCGGCAAGCAGGAGCCTCCTGGCCTCCATGCTCACCTGCAGGTACAGGACTGGGCAATCATGTCTTCATATTCTTTGTACAGGATGCTGCCACTGGCCTCAATCAGCAGGACACTAATGGGCGTGTACTTGTAAGGGACGCACGAGGGTCGAGGGATGCTTCCATCCACCAGCTCGTTGATAAGGTTCTGAATGATGGCATGGTTGGGTGAGTGGAGGCCAGAGTGTAGCACTCGTGGACAGGCCCCCTTGCAGTAGTTGGGGCTGTACAGGTGGGGGGCAATGATCCAGTTCTCCCAGCCCAGCTGGTGGAAGCTAACCTGGAAAGGGTGGAGAGAACACTGGGTCTGCTCCAGCGACTGGCCAGGTGCCTCAGATCTCACAGGGCCCACCTGACGGACTCGCCGGGCCAGGGAAAAGAGATCAGCTCCCCCAGGGTTCCTCAACACAAGTTCTTGCAGCCCAGTTTGTGGCACATTCTTAAAGGTGTTGTTGAAATACAGAACCAGGAAAGTAGTGTCAGTAGCCAAGGCCTGTCTCCACCCAAGGCCAACCTCTGTCCTTTCTTGCTGCTGACACCTGACTTGGATGTGAAGGACTCTCTTCCCCTTTGGAGGCCAGACTTGCTGCTGAATGTAATTGGTGAGATCTCTCTCTGCCCAGGCCTCTGGCAGAGCAAAGCCCAGGGAGCCTCCTCCCAGGAGGATGGCGCTCTTGTGGGCCCAGGGTTCCACATGGCAGGAAAGATGAGAGCGAGACAGGTGGAGGTGAGGGCGGTAAACAACAGCAGCCCTCACCAGCTGCTCCACGTCACGGTTTGGCTCAAGCAGGAAGTCTAGGGTTTGTACATACCAGGGACCTGCACCGAGAAAATGAAGGTGACAAGAACAGAAAGTCAGCTTCCAGCTGCCCAGAGGGACTTTCCCTGACCAGAGAGTTCTGTTAGGCCTTCTCCCCTCTCGAAGCCATTAGCTGGTCAACAAGAGGCCAAGACAACAAGTACTTATTGAGCTCCTGTGTGTGGTGGGCACCATAGAGAGGACAAACAAGCGTGGTCCTCAAGAAGCTTATGTTCGACTTGGAGGGAAGGAGGA